AAAGAAAGAAAAAAAAGTAGGCGGGGGGAGGATATTCGTGTATGTTCATCAAGGTAGGATTCAACATAAACATATCTCAAACCAAGATGCTATACAATACAATGTGAAGAGATTAGCAAAGTTGAATGTTAAATGAGTCGAAATGATAACAATAAACTAATAATGGAATGTTGAAGTTCAGTCAATAATCATAGCATAATTGATAAAAAATATTTCACTATGCTTAATTCAATTTACAATATTTACTGACTATATACTATAAAAGCATTCTAATTGTCTTAAGGATTGATTCTATTTAATCAGATAAACAGAATATTAGCACATGATATATTATATGCCAGAAGAAAACTGAAGACAACTTAAATAACATACATCCAAAACGTTTGAATACTTCACATCATAATTATGAAAATAACCGCGGTCAACTTTTTTTTTCGAAATTTTTCATTGTACACATTATTAGAATAATATTGGTTTATAATGGAATGACCTGCTTTTCATAGAATAAGCATCATATGTTTTCAAATTTCTTTTTTAATTAGAAATTATTGTGATCACATTCAGTACATACGGAAAATCCAAATTTCTACAATGATTATTGATATATGAAAAAACCTTTAATTATTTGTAAAGATTTGCATTTTTTTCCCGTTTTGTTGATATTCACTTAATGTGATTAATCTAGGTTGGGTTATAAGCTACTTGACTGAATGACGCAATTGTATTATCTAAAGTAATAGTAGCTAGGATGTGTGCTTGTATCAGTGTTAACTTTAACACTGAACAGTCAGTCAGTAACAAGGTAGAACTTCGTGCGTACGTACGTCAGTTTGAGTTGCCATACCACATTAGCACAAAGATGCAGTTGTCGACTCGAATCCCGTAGTGGTAGGGGTAGTAAAAGTATAAGCAGTGATCGAAAACATTAGGGTTTAAAGATGTTATTCAAAGACTATAATCCAGTGAAATAAATTTAGAAAGAGAAAAAAAGGGACACGAAGAATTCAGAAGATTAGAAGTTGGGAGAACACAAAGACTGGATGCACCTGCGCTATTGCAAACGATTTTGAGCAATATCATTCAAAGTCTCTAACCATCGGTCGCTATCATCTCGCGGATCCCAACCAGGTAGTCTACACCTACCAATATGGCTCAGTCCACTTGTCAGTGACTTCATGGACTTGTACCATGTTTTGGTCTGGCCGCCCCTAGCTTTCTTCCAACCTACTCCTACACCAGAAAACATCGCACGTCGAGGCAGTCGGTGGTTGGGCATACGTAACACGTGTCCCAGCCATCTCAACTAGTGAAGTTTCACTACGTCATCAATTGATTTGCCATCCTTACCTAGTAACCGTATCCTAGCAACTGAACACAACATGAGTTTACGTTTGAAGTGAAAGTTATTCAGCTTAAGTTATGATGTTGAGTGCACGTGAATCCAAGTTACGAACCTTGAATAAAACAAATAGAGGACAGTGACTTCTACGGTTAGTCACAATCTAAAATATAATCAATAACGATTCATTTTCAGAAAAAATCAACAGCATTTTGAGAATAGTAGGAATACATTTTATTTCATTGCGTCAGTTCATAACTCCATTTCAATGTGCACTGTTCGAACATGAAAATTACTAATAGGATATTATGTAATGTTTATTATAATAAAGGTGGTAATCAGTAGAAGGCTAACGCAAACAAATAACAACCCATTGTAAAGAAAATCATAATTATTCTCATGAGTGTTAACAGCATTTTTATGATAACAGAAAAACTAGATATATTCAGTAGTTATTCAATCAAATCTGAGTTAACTGGAATTGGGATTTATTCTTTTTTATGAACTTATACAGATTAACCACTACGAATTGGCAAAAGTTACATCACTGTAACCAAACAAATTGTAAACAAAAAATTTCACTGCAATGCTATAAATTTTTTAAAATGCAATCCAACTAATAGGTAAATGAGTTAAACTACGGATGTAGGTAACCTATTTATTTAAACACATAAAAATTGGTAAAAGGAGAGACTGAATATATACGCGCCACACAAAACATTCAATTTGTGTGAGGGATGGAATACTATCGATATGCCAACAATGGAACAGGTGGTTTTATTAGCGGATTACTACCTGAGCTTTTGAACTCCGCCTGGAGTCCCTCCGGGGGCTACTGCCGGTCCCAAGCCCGGCTAAAGGAGGAGGGTTGGGCATGGGGTTAGCGTCCCCATCCCGTAGAAAACTAACTCGCTAAAAAAACGCTAACCAGAAAAACCTGAGCTTTTGACCCAGAGATCCAATCCATGAAATCACTAACCATTGAACCGATCCGTATTGGTAGGTGTAGACTAGTTTGGTTGAGGTCTACACATTTAATGGTTGAGTGATATGGATTACAATCATTTATATTATTTCGCACTTCCTATTCTTAAATTCATTCCTGTTTTTTGGACAGTTTTCTTCAATTTCTTTTTCATTAATAATTTAAAAATTATAATGGAAAAAGCTGAATTTCGTCAAATAATCCAAAAGTTTAATATTATTAGTTCTTCATTAATATTCGGTAATTAGCTATCACACTTGCGATGATTTTATCCAAAAGTTCAAAAGCAGTACTCAACCCTCGTTTCATTAAGTTAGCCTACTCAGGGAACTCAAGTGATCAAAGATCATCCACTTCAGTTTAAGGTCTCCTTTACAATATCGATAAAACGACGAATCACATAAAGGGCTCAATAATCGCATTCTGAAAACAGCCAACTACTATAAGTCAATCCAAATAGCTTATTGCAGTAATTAAAAAATGATTTAGGGCTCATTTTTTGAAATGTAGTACTCCGATAGAAATAACCTGGTATTATCTATAATGAAGCCTTTTTTCCCTAAAAAGTACATATTGTTTAGAAATTTGCATGTATTAGTGTCGGAGTGATCCAGAAAATTTGCAAAAGACAAGCAAAGATCAGGAGACAACTTTGTTCAAACCGGTCATATGGTCAATGAGAAATCACTACTCACAGTAATCTATCATATTAGTAATTTTCTGCTGAAATTCGTCAGGCTTAATGTGCTACAAATGCCAGAAGCAATAACTATTAGTATTAAGTTTCGTGTACAAAAATATATGTGCAACCGCTTTTTTCATTTCGCTAGCTTCAGACACGATAAATCAATAACCATCTTAGTCACAAGATGACCTTCTTTGGCCCATGTACAGAAAACCTTACCATTTGTAGTGTCACAGCTTAAGTTTAGTTTCTTCAAACACTATTGTTATCAATATTCACATCTTTAATTATTATTATTAGTCGTGAAGACACATGAAGAATTTAATTAGTACTCATCCCTCTCTACCATTCCTTGCTCAATCCATATCATTCTATGCATTGAGTAATCTTTAACCAACCATTCGATCTGATTTGCAGTTATATTATTTCCATCACCCTATGTTATCTAAATTTATTGTGATTTTTAATTTCATAATTTCACTGACGAAGTGCCTTCAACATATCAGTCAACAGGGATGCAAGGACAAATGAAGATACATAGATCTACGAAGATAACCAATCATAAGCATGATCATTAGGATAAATTGATTAACCGTCTGTTGAGTGACTGAATAGCTAACTTCTACAGAGAATTAAGAGCCGATGATACTGTCGCGAACGACAAAATTAGCTTTGCAATTAAACCATCTAAGTTGGAGAATACAACAACACCAAAAATATAATCTTTATGATAAGCAATAATACATGTGTAAAAAGTGTTATCAATGCCTAAAAAACATTCACAATAGAAGAGTGAATCAATAAAGAACAGAAAGCAGTAAGAGAAGAATGAAGAGTTCAAAAAAATTATTATACGGTCTTTGATAGTCACTTATTCACAAAAGGTTGTGTATGTGTATGAAAGAAAAAAAAGGAAACGTATAGATGGAATTACAGAAACAAATAACACAAAAGTGACAAGAGAAAAGAAATATCACCGTCAAATAAAACATGAAATACTCCAACAACAACAACAACAACAAAATACGAACACACTTTTACTATTAAAATTTCCTTTCAATTAGCTGGCTTCAAACTTAATCACATGACTATAATGTTTCTATGCATTAAAAAAATATGGTGAGTGAAATGGGCAGTAACCGGAACAAAGTTTTTCTTTTTTTTAAAAAATAAATAAATAAAAACGAAAACAAATATAGAATGAATGACTGAAAGGAAGTAGTAAAAAGTAAATAAATTCGGTTTTTTTTTAATTTATGGAAGTCCTTATTATCTTTATCATCATCATTATCATGATAAGTGTTCTTAATTTTTAAAGAAATAAGTATCTATTTTGTTGAAAATTTTGTACAAAAGTTATTGTCAACAAAAATTTCATCTATAACTAGAGTGTGTAATACTTCATACACACACACACCACAGTGTCAACAGTTACACCAACTACCTTATTTCAATCTACTACTACTACTACTACTATCACTGCTACTAGTACAGATACACAAACAGCATGATAATATTAAAATACATGGGTAGTTAATATCGTCAAGAACGATAACAGAAGATAAAGAAAATGGGGAGGGGCAAGGGAGGGAAATGCTCAAATTGTGTACAGTATAGTGAATTTGATCTTTTATCTTATACATATTTCTATATGTATTCTAACACATGAAACAATTTCTTTTGCACAATGATGATTATAATGATACTTTATTTTAAAGGGATCTAATTAGAAAAAAAAGTGAAAAGTACAAAACAAAACAAACAAACTATAAAATGAATGCAAAAGAAAACAAAAGAAAAACTCACCAGTTGTTATGTAATAATAATCTGGCGCATACACAATAGAAAAAAAATTTCTTTATGTAAAATAAATTTGATGAATTTATTTTATTTGTAAAAAAAAAGAGAAAAGTAGATAAAAAAAGAGTCTTATCTTGAAAATATGTGTATTATATATAGATATATGAGATTATGTTTTTTTCCTCTATTTCTCATGAGTATTTCGATCGTTTAGCATACTTTGGAAGCACATTAGGTGAGTTTTGAGATTCAGCTGTTTTTATGAAAAAGTAAAAAAAAATGAATGAAAAAAACTCACTTTAGATAATTATCAATGAAAGTGACAGAATATAAAATATTTAAAAATAAATAAAACATAATTAGATCCGAGTTTAATTTCATTTCACCCTGCCCCCAAATGCTCTGGTACGGCTGAGAGTGGGGAGATTCCGCTCTCCCTCTCGAAATGCTCTCACATGGCCACGCGTATATAGCCTCTGTCAGGGAAGTCCTACTCACTGACTTCTCGCAATGGGGTGTTGTTTACGAAATCGAAAGGACGAAAAGCGAATGTCCGGCGCTTTAACCGGATCACAAATCAATGGTGCACATGGGCTCCAGTATCCTGCGGGAACAAATGGCGTATAAAACCAATCGTTGGTCACCGGCTATCATGGGATTGCATCTCCTCACGATGCTCTATTGCCGTGTGGATTAGAGCTTCAGGTCGAAGGCTCGGGGAGTGGCTCCCTAAGAAAACCACCTGCTTCGGTTTGGGTACCCGGGCATTATCCCAGCCCTCACATAAATCGAATGACGCATATGTATTCGGTGACCCTTTGTACCAATATCTATGTGTTTAAACAAATAAGTAAATAAAATCATTTCACCCAACTATAAGAGATTACTCTCAGTGAATCTGGAGTAGTATTCAATGAGAGGGAAGGAAATCATATGTCTAATAGTCAGTAAGCTGCGTGTTGACCAATCACGTTTACTTCTACTATTACATGTCACGGTGTGAATCTCACTTCATTCAACTTTAGAATTTAAACAGCTAGCTAATGCGTATTATGTGAACGCTTATAAAAAAAAATTTGATATAAAATTATGTACTTTGCAAATGAAATAAATTATATACACTCAGCAAGATCACTGGATGATTTATACAATTCATCTTAGCAATTTTATTCTAATCTTATAAACAATATTAGTTAAACTGGTTTAATGCAGTGTTCAAGGTGGTTGACTGATTGTACACAAATACATCTTTCGAAAGAAAATTACAGTGGAGTTCAATGATCATGATTTACCTAGTTTCATTTGAACATTCTTTTATTGAAATGGGATTATTAGCTGACGATTCCCAAGTGGGATGAAACTCATATCCTATCTTCCACTACTAGCTATAATTCATCCATAATAAGGAATACATGAGCTAAAACACCGTTATGTTGGACATTCTATGACGATTTTAAAATGATTTTGTTCCAGAGATTAATCAACGATGAATATCGACATGACAGAGACTAATGACGGCTTTATTTATGCTTGATATATAGAAATTTCCATTGAGAAACACAACAGTTTGAATAAGTGTATGCATGTCCATATTGTTCAAGCATTGCCAACAGCAAATATATATATATATATATATAATAGAAAAATAAGTTGTAGAACTTTGAGAACAAGATCCTCTTGTTGAACTCTACTCTTGTTTTCTACCTCCAATAAATACTTTCTGCTTTTGTTTATTTTATTTAGATGTCGGGTCATTTTTAGAAGATAGTAAATATTAACTCTGTCTATTAGAATACTTTGATATTGCCTTAATGATAAATCTTCTAAATAAACGCTTGATTCGGTTTTCTAAGCTCTTTTAGTAACCTCCAGGCTAAATCTACACGGTAACGTGAACACGGGAGAAAAGGCGCGAAATATGGAAAGAACGTTTTGCTCCCAAGGTTCATTTATGTACAGAAAATCTAGGGTATCTATAGCATTTTAGATAACATTGGGCTTCTGGAAAGTTTTGGAGCGCTACTAAACATAGTAACAGGGTAGGTAATCATCCAATCACAAGTGTGATATATGGCTTTTCACCTTCTAAATGTTTCTGGTAAACTTCTATCGCATGCTGATTGGGTAAGATGTTTCTCAGTTTCCAGGGCCCTTTGGGCTTTTTATCGAGGAAGTTTCTGAGTCTCCCCAACACTCGACGTCATACACTAAATTTTGATAACCGAAGACGGGTAATCAGGAAGATAGTAATAATAAAACCATGAGTCAATCTAAGCTCAACCACGACTAAAAACTTGAAAGCACTAAACGGCTTCTTTGTCCTTCGTAGTACTCATCCACAATTCCCTACGAAGGGATCCTACCCAGGACGTTCTGTCTCACTTACGAACGCTTAACCTCTAGACCACTGAGTCGACATTCAACGGAGTTAATGTTTAGCCTCAACCAATACACGATGTCGCGCGATCATATTCCATGGTTTTCGGTGCGTAACTGCTTCACAACCGACACGGTTGAACTCCATTGGTGACGGCTTCTCACTAGAAATCTAGGTTTGCAATGATGGTCGAACTTAGAGCGGCTTATGATTTTAATAAATTTAGCAATCCCTACAATCTCAGACTGAAAGTAATAATATTTGACAGGTAGTAAGTGAAGTACCATATAGAATGAAACATAAATATGCTATGAATTTCATGAGTATCGATCGCTAATGAAAAACAGTACATACATAGATAACCATTGAACTAACCACCTATGCATGCATGGCAAGTCAAAGTACTATCTACTTTATTATGAACACAGAGATTTATATTTTGAAGAAAATCGAAAAAAAAACAAATAGTAGTGTCATTTACAACAGCTGCGAAAAAAAGAATAATAGCCGATAGATTTCTTTTTTATTCAACTGCTTGTTTGTTTTTCTCTTTAAGCGATTTCATACAAACTCTTCCATATTTATGAATTTTAAAAGAACAAAGATAACAATTCGTTCCAGCTGCTTACAACCTGTATTCGCATAATTGTAATACTTGTTTTTTTTAAAGATTGACACGAGTACATATATATATATATATACGTGTGTAGTACCTTTTTTTCAGCTGATTTTAAGAATTTATTGTAGTGATATATATGTCTGTCGGTGGTCAAACGTTAAGAGTTACGCAGTCGGGAGTGAATGATCGAATTACTCAAATCTTTCCCAATTTAAGGGTCATAAAATTTCATCTTATTTTTTTAAATTTAAATAAATGTGAAACATTTTTTGTTCTCGGCAAAGATTGTGATATCTACATCATTCAGGGTGAAATTATGCCGTCATGTTTCTTAGTGTAACCAACCATGTTTATCAAATATAAGACAGTATTACTGTTAAAAAAATTGTGACAATCACATAATATATTGCTTGCCATTAATGATCTATTTTGAAATTATTTCACCTATGGATTAGACCTTTTTTTAAAGATCTATTCATACATGCTTTGCACTATCCTATAACAAATATTCAGTTAAAATAATACCTAAATCATATCTCTTCGAATAGTGCATATACTTATTTGGTATTAAACTGACTACAGCTTGAAATTTACGGTGCATTTACTATAATTTTCGAAAAATATTATTATTGTTATTACTATTGTGGGACAGCTTTATCCCTAATTTATAGTACGATTTAGATAATTTATAATTAAATTTAAATAAGAAAGGGAATGTCCACAGTGTAAAAACCATTAACTAATACTACTAATAACGGGGAAGTTTTTAAACACAATAAAAAACAATAGAGAACATACATTCACAATATGCTGAAATCGTATCCATATTTATACATGATGATTGACTAACAAGTACAGGTTGAGTAATTAATGAATTTTGATTTTCAGCATTTATATTAGATAATGACGATGATGATGGTATGGAAGTAGGCGTAGGAGGACTATGACTAAGAGGAAATAAAGGAGGCTCTCGAGATGTTGGAGGAGCTGGTGACAATGATAAAACCTGATGTAATCCTAACCGGTAAAATATATTAGCAGGAGAAAAAGTATGCCAAAGTGGATGATGAGTATCTGGAGAATCTGTAGATGAATTACCATTGTTATTGTTATTATTTCGATGACCATCTAAACGACCTATAATTTAATACGAGAAAAAACAATAAAAATGACTAGAATGAATTAAAACTTCCAAAAGAACGAGAATATAAAATTTTAAAGCTAAACAGTCAACGAATAGTAAGCTTACAGAATCATTGAGTGAAAAATGTTGAGATAAGGGTAAGTAAAAGTAACGAATCAGCTGGCAAGGTTGTACATTCTCATTGGGTGAGGTAGTTACACTATGTGTTACGTATGCCTGACTATCACCTACCTTGTTAGGCAATGTTAGATAGTGTAGGTGTAAATTAAAAGAAAGCTAAGGATGACTAAACTAAGTGAAAGCATCAGGTCTAGGAAGACACTGAATGTTGGACTGAACTATGTTGGTAAATGCAAACCGCTATTAATGGTTAGAGACGTTGGACGAAGTAATTCACAATCGATCACAGAGATGCATTGATTCTTCACTTTTCTCTAGATCTTCAGTCCCAGTATTACTTCATCTATATTGTTTCCTTCCTAAATCTCGAACCATATTCTCAGTGATTAGTCTTTCTCATTATCGTTTTTACTGTGATTATTTCGACTCTTTCGACAATTATCTTGTAAATTTCATAGCGTTATGCTAATGTGGGGATGAAAACTTGGGCCAATGCACATCTGTGCCAGGATCGAAATTGACTATGATTGACGACAACCGTTTTGTCCAAGTTTAATGTTCCTTAGGAGTGGTGAGAAACTGCGAACTTGCATAAAACCGAATCCACTAAATTTATATCTTGAAACATGCAAAATACTTTCAGATTCCTCCATAGGATTCAGAGGATTTATGAAATAGCATATTTCTAATTAAATTTCATTATCAGAGGATAATTATTTCATTCCTGACAAAACTAAACTACACCAGACAGGAATTTGTATTAGAACTTTGAAGATCTGCCTCGAAGCTAGTTGCAAATGAGCATATGGTTATAAACTAAGTATTTGAAGATTATTCAATTAGTACGTAGTTTTTAATAACCAATAGACTTCAGATATCCAATACCTTATAGGTTTTCAATGACACATAAATTGAAGTCATTGCGTAATGAAATTTGAACAATATTCATGAACAACTTATCCTAACGGTAAATTAAGAATCAGTAAATCGGTACTGAACATTTAGATCCACTATTGATAAGATGGGGATTTAATCAGAATAAAATGAACAGTAAAACTTTTTAGGATCAAATGTCTGATAATACAAGTTATGATGAATGGAAGAATTCAACAGGTAATTCACTCATATTTATTGAGAAAAAACGTTTAAACAAAATGACAAGACAAACATGATTCTCTACAACGCCAAAAGAAACCATCTTTATGAATGCTGGTAATGTAAATGATAATGGAATAAGGTAAATGAGATTATTTTTACAATCTTGCGAAAAAACCTTTTGATCTGTTAAGTTTTATATTGTATTCTCCAATCTGTAATTGACTAAGGAATATATTAAGTATAAACTGTTAATTTGTAGCACTCTAATATATTTGATAAAGCTTACTTGATCTTACAACCAGGTTACATTAATCATACAAACTGTGTGGCTTAGAAAAGTTTTTCGGTATTTCTAAACATGAAGTACAGTACTAACTACTCATAGGTAACATTGATATAACCAGTTCAAATCTTTGGTTTTTCAACAAGTTGATTTTCTCTATAATTATGATGCAAAGTGTTTGGAATTTGAACCATTTCCCATCTAGAAATTAAGCGGGGAAATTAGTGACAAAGTTAGCTTTAGCGTAATACTGTTGCTGCTCTAAAGGTTACAGTCTATTGAACGTTAAAAATGAGAAATTACGAAACCAGTCCTAATAACTTAATACACATTGGACAAGTTAGTGGTTATTCAGACTCAGTAGCCCAATCGATATCGCAACGGCCATTGGAATTGAAAGACATTGGATTCAAGTCCAAATGTGAACATTAAAACTGACATTCAAGGATAGTCAACTAATGAATATTAAGTATGGTGAAACACACGTTCTGAGTTACATCCTACTAGCCCAATATATGAAATATACTGAAACCATATTCTTTTTTCGTTTAAATCTAAACAAAAGTTTCATAAAGAAATAAATCAAACAAAGAAACAAATCAATCTACCAAGTTCATTGATCACTTCCGGTGTTGACAAAAAATATCCATTTGGTATACTAGTTTGTCGTAAAACTGTCGAACTACAAGTTGATGGTAATTTCAAATGTTTCAATGCCGGGATTCTTTTTTGACGTGACTGATTCTGTGACTGTTTTTGTTCTTTTTGCTGTGAATTTTCTTCTCCCATATTTAATTCATCACAGGAATTTTGTGTAACATTTTTGTTGCTATCATTGTTGTCATTACTATTACTACTAGTAGTAGTATTAGTAGTACTAGTACTGTTTAGATGATTGACATGATTGATACAACTTACTTCTGACTTTGTCACTGCTATAGTTTTACACAATAATGTTGACGGTATTGAAGCCGATGGCAAACAATCTAAATCAACAATATCAGGTAATGTTGTTTGAGTAGGTGCATCGATTTTCTGAATAATTACCATTGGTTCCGATGATAGATTATAATCAGAATTCATACATTGTTGTGAAATAACATAATGTTTGTTAGGGGGCACAGGTGTAGTAAGCGGACTATTAGTTGAAACAGTAATGATAGGCTATGCAATCCATACATATGTGATAGAAAACAAATAGTAATATAGACATATTTAGGGTGGAGTATACAATGAAAAGAATAATTATTAAATAACTGAAGTTGTAGTATCATTTGTGGAAGACGTAATTGCTGAAACATATATATATATCAGTATAGGGTTGTGGAGATTGATGAGATCGAAGGTCCTGGGTCCGAGTCCCGTGCGCAAGATCGCGGATGCTCACTGCTGAGAAGTTCCATACTAGGATGAAAAGGTCGTCTAGTGCTTCTAGGTTTTCAATGGTAGTCTAGCATCGATAAGTTCATGATCTTAATACATCAATTTATACGGAATTATCTGAACAAAACGTTTATGGTTTAATTTAAACAATTAGTCAGTCAGTCAGCAACAATGCAGAACTCTGCACGTATGTACATCAGTCTAGGTCGCGACACCACATTAGCACAGAGACACAATTGTCGATTTAAATCCCATAGCGGTAGAGGTGTAGTGAACAAGAATACGAGTGGGGACAATCGAATGTAATTGAATACAAAATTACAGATGTCACTAAAATTTGAGAACAATACAGTAAATACTTAATTTGCAAAATATTAATCGATTGTTTCAAACTTGACCGTTTCTTTTACAAATATGAGTCTATTGTCTCAGATTTCATTGTTCCTGCATTTTTATACCAATCGCTTTCCGATCCTGTTCTTTCCTTCTCGATCTACTGAAATACGTTCTATTCCTGACTATCGTTATATACTACTTATGGGATATAAGTAGCTCACACCACAGAGGTAGTAAAAGTATAGACAGTAATCGGAAAGATTAGGGTTCGAAGATGATATTCAAGGAGTATAATCCAGTGAAATAAATTTGGAAAAGGAAAAAAGGACATGAAGAATTCAGAAGATTAGAATTTGAGAGAACAAAACACTGGATGCACCTGCGCTATTGCAAACGATTTTGAGCAATATCATTCAAAGTCTCTAACCATCGGTCGCTATCATCTCGCAGATCCCAACCAGGTAGTCTACACCTACCAATATGGCTCAGTCCACTTGTCAGTGACTTCATGGACTTGTACCATGTTTTGGTCTGTTTGCCCTTAACTTTCTTCCAACCTACTCTTACACCATAAAACATTGCTCGTCGGGACAGTCGGTGGTTAGGCATAGGTAACACACGTCCCAGCCATCGCAACTGATGAGGTTTCACTACGTCATCAATTGATTCGCTTTCCTTACCTAGTACCCGTTTCCTAACAACTGCATTACATACTCGGTGGTCCCAGGATATACGAGCAAATGATATTATTGCTGTGGTGGAGCGAATATAAAAAGTGTAACAATTAAGATTAATTCACGGATTTTAATTTTATAGCTAGTAGATAACTACATCGTTACAGCTTCATATTCTCATAATTGTAATCTTCCAGTGAACCTATTAAATATCGTTGTGTGTTTCACTATCCCGTAATTATATTAAACTAATTGTGTACCGTTTGCTTCGCTCTTTGTCATATATGACATAATTGTTTGTAAAGTATTTCATATTTAGAGTGTTTGTAGTCTGGTGGTTCACATATATAAGCCAGTGAGTTTTTGGGATAGCTTCGGGGTAGTCGAAAACAATAATAAAAGCAGGGCTGCTTTTTTCTTCTTTCAGACTCAAGGCTGGGGATCAACGGACCAGTAAAAGCGAAGCATACGTTAGCCTCAGCTCAGGGTTAAACTATGATGGTCGGAACGTATCGTTGGTCAATTCCTTGGACAGTAGATTAAACACTGAATAGCATATGAGGGGTTGAAATATTATGATCGGGATTCTGATTAGCAAATCTAACAGATGATATCGATTAACGTCTTAGGCATAACATGTGCACGCAAGAACAAACCTCTAGAATAATTTTGAGCTTTACTTCCAAACTCAGTGATTCACCATTTGCTACTTAGTAGTAAGATGAAATTAGCCATTATTACTATGGAAAGTGAATGATATATAGTCTACACTTATTCATGTTCAGCCGGAATATGCAAAACAGATTATTAATTGTGAAATTTAATAAATCAACGAGGTATGTAACTATGTTGTTATAACTTGAACTAAACATGAATAATAGTAGACTGGTAATAGCAATGACTAAACGAATTTTTAATGTAAATATTAGTAAAGTAACGAATGATAATAATACGTTAGTTTGGAAAAATTGACCGTTCCCTATATAGAGTACAACCAATCCTGTTGGGACATTGACAATGGTAGTGATAAAATTATTGATTTACTTGGAAAAAAGAACAATACACAAAGGTTACTACACAACTGAGATAACAACAGACGGGTAATGCTGACCATAATATCAAGTTGTAGAAGAAGCAAGATAAAATGGTACCGATAAAACAAGGAATAAACTGCAGAATAGAAAAAAACAACTGAGAGGAAAGACTAGACAACTAATTTTTCACATTGATTAATTGATTGTTCAGCAGAGATCAAAGCTGATTTTATCTAGTAGTCCATAAGACATGGATAAATTCTAATTCAACAACTGAAATGCATACAATCTATGTTTTCAACTAGAAATATGTATGAAAGCGGTAAAAAGTCAGATTGTTTGGAAAATTGATTGATATTCAATTATCAGAAAGAGATGTTTGAGATCAAACTCAATTTCGCGTTGTTGTTCGAATGTGGTTACAGTCACGAATAATTTATTACTCAACCGGCTGCCTCTTTATATATAATATTTAAATGGAAAGAAACCATGTGTCTAAATGTATTGAGCACATATTTCGATAACACTTAAATCAATTGCTATTTATTCAATACTTATGATCTTACCCTCGAAATTTATTGTTCGAAGTAGAGAAAAGAAAAGCCACAAACATTTTAGTGTCAGCCACAAATTGTGATAAACAAAATGGTTTCTAATTATAACATTCTCGTGAAAAATTGTCCACAACTGCACTTAGCTCAGTGATAAAGTAACTTGGTTAACGCTGATAACCGCACTGGTAAACGCTGGTTGCATGAATAAACAATAAATATCAGTATATTCATTAAATACGTTTTAGCAGTTTATGTGGCCCGCCTGGCATTATTTCTGTGTGGTCACTTGATAAAGGTTTATTCACTTCTGATCTAGTTCATGATAATGATCGAATTCTGTTCATTAAATTGCAATGTGACCACTACTCTATGTGACTCAACATAGTGTACATTATCTTTAATTGACAGCTGATTGGGTTCGATCGGAATGAAACCCTAGACGTATGCTAAATCTTGAGGGAACTGATGTTTCTCATACGATCTGAACCCACATTATTTAGTGTTTATTTCCATCAGACTATTTTATATCGAAAATAAGAGAATGGAATGTAATCAAAAATACATTAAATCTTGGAATATTTTTGGTATTTTTTGAATTCTTTAAGCTCGATGGTTTAATTGTAGAGCAATAATTGTAGTTCCGGATAACGACAACACCGATTATGTAACATAAAAGCGAGTTTATTTCACGAGTCTCAAATCTGTTTAATCTGGTGATTTTGTTTGTGATTAGTTGTCTTCATGGGTTTTATTGTCGTTATTTGTTTTTGTATTCACGTTGACTATCTTATTCCGTTGACCACTGAGCATGTTGTTGATAAAGGTTTTTTTTAAATGAGCCAATAGATCAAGCATAATTCAGTGTGCTGTTGATTGATATGAATACCATGCTCCCACAAATTTCTGAGGATCATGTCAGTCCTAACACTCTGACAGTAGTGATGAATAGTATGTAGGTGGAGTGATTAAAATGTAAACCTAAAACAGTTATTACAAAATCAACAACTAGTTCATAAAAACGGTTTACATAAACTTAAAACTACTTACTTTATCCATATTAGTAACTGGATTTGTTGTGAAGTGATTGACAAGATTTTCGTATACACCACTTCTATAATCATCCATTTGTCCGTGTTGTTCACATGAATCAGAATAGTTATGTCTATTACTTAAATGTGGCAAATCTTGAGGTCCAAGTTTGACAGCTACAGACAGAAAAAAAATATTACTTCATTTTTTCACAGTAAAGATTACAGATATGGAAAAAGATTTTAATCGGTGTCAAGATTTCGTCGGCCACCAATTTAAGAGGAATGATAAGACTTTTAAGCTAAGTGAAGAGGCCAACTCGCTTAACTATCTCATTCTCTATGATAAAACTGAGAACTGATGCGGAAACATTTTGAATTTATAGGGAAAGGAACGGATACTAAACATTTTTATATCGTTATTTATGGCGTTCAAAAGACTCTGGATTCTGTAAGAACCTTCACTAAAGAGAACTATATCATCTAATTCCACAGATAGGTAACCAATCCTTGAAAAGTAAGATGTTACTTCTAGGAGCATATTTATGAAGTTAAATAAAAACAAGACGTATGCAGATCTAAAAATACCACTAGATCTAAACAGATCAAACACAATCAACAGTTTTTGACTAAAGAGGCTTTAGTAGGTCAATATAATTTTTGACACACTTATCAAGAGTTCTAGGTAGACAGAGTCGAATGTTTCTCCCTGAGAATCAAGGAATGTGCTTACGGATGTATATAAGCCACTTACTGTCGAGTAAAAGTGAAACATCGGTATAATGAGAGGAAATACATAGTCACAACAATAAAGAAAGAGGGATACAATGATAGTAGTTTGATTATCCTTTCGTCAGAGAAAAATACAAAACGAAAAATAAGCAATATGGAAATGAAGCTTATAGAATCAGAAAAGTTTGATGTGGTGTTATGAAGATAGAACTCGTTAAAAAAACTCTGCCTGTAGCTCTTCCAGAGTTACTGCCGGTCCCAAGCCCGGGTTTTTATTTATTTATTTATTTCAACACATAAATATTGGTACAAGAGGGCACCAAATATATATTGGCCACACCATATTTGTGTGTATGTGGGCTGTGATACTGCCCGGTTGCCCAGACTGAAGCAGGTGGTTTACTTAGGGGGGCCCCCTACCCGGGCTTGGCCCGGGTAAAGGAGGAGGGTTGGGTATGGGGTTAACGACTCCGTCCCGTAGAAAACTAACTCGCTGAAAAAACGCTAACCAGTAAACTCGTTCTGATAAACGATTTTCAACTGTTAATTAGTTTAGCTGTTCAATTTTCAGCTACGAATTTCTGGGTTCGAAACTCACTCAACCTACTTTAGTTTGGGTAACTAAGCGTTATCATTATATCGGATACTTAAATTGTAGCGTACATTCAAGTACCTAGTAAATAAGTAAATTAATTAATATTTTTAATCAACTTTCAATCATACTTGTGAAGTCTATAAATACTGTTTAACCGGCCAAATTAATGTAAGAGAAATGAGATTTAATACTGTAACTAGTTGATTAAAAGTTGAGTAATTTCACTGTTTACACAACGAATTTGTAGTATTATGTGATGGCAAGTTTGATTTAGTTGAATTTCATAAAGTTTCTATTTAGAAATTAAAAGAAATGGTAGATATAGCTCTGAATTGTCTAATGAGTTATCTATGACAAGTTCTTTTTCATATTTATGTCTTAATTTAAAAGTAGATTATACGTTAAAATTTGAATAATTCATTACTCTTAAGTAAATTAATTTATTTGAACAAACTGACTACTCTAATCAATATTATGGAAAATACAAATATACACAAAATCTAGGTGTATGTGTAATGTTTGAATATTTCCAACTGAATTTTTTCTTAATATTAACTTCATTATTATTTACGTGACTATCGTCGTTTAAGTATCCAATAATAATCGGCAAGACAATGATGATAGCTACGTCATTAAACAAATAATGTAAGTAATTCACGGGATTGGATTTAAATACATATGTAATATTTGTATAATATGATGTAAATATATATATATACCATGTGGATCAGTTGTGCAATACCATAAGAGAGATAAACAGACAGGTAAATAGATAAATAGATAGATAGATAGACACATCAATATATTTTTTTGGTGAAATAATAAAGAAGTTTGGCTGATGTATCAAAAACAAGCATAAATAGACACTATATAATCATGAAAATGCAATACACGTAGTCATAGTTACATATGTGTATGCGTTAGTAACAGTAACACACATAAGTATGTCTATTTACATAAATTGGATACAACTATGCTAATTGGAAAGTCAATCTTATTACCTATTTTAACTATTTAAAAAAACTGAAATTAACATGTGATTATAAAAATAGCACATTTTATTGAAAGATAAAACAAAAATTATTATTATTATTATTTTTGATTCTTCTATCATGAACATCTATCCATCTCTGTGTGTATGTTCAAAGAATTTTTTTTAAATTAAATGATAAACTGATGGATAATACATTTCTATAATGAAGAATTCTACCAATATAATACAACTACTGATGTCTTTAAACAGTGAAAAAAAAACAGCTTACGTATTTACTTAATCATTCAATTTTTATGGTTATTAAAGTATAGGCTCAAAAATACAATGCAGTGGATCAATAAACAAGAGTATGTAAATCAATAAGCGGATGTTGAGCTGAAATTTTTCATGAGTAAATTCAAGATACACTGTACAGTTGACCATTTAACGAAGTGTAACTTAACTATACGTTTACTGATTATTACTGGTTGACAGAGTGATATTTAATTTGTTTATAATGGTTGACGTTTTTTTTAGCAAGGTTGTTTGCTACAGGTTAGGGTTGCTGACCCCATACCCAACCCTCCTGCTTTATCCGGGCTTGGGACCGGCAGTAACCCTAGGTACAGGCGGAGTTGACAGGACGATATATTTAGTTTATTTTATCAGATATCTGCAGTCCTGAATAAACGTTGAACAGACAACCCAGAAAACAACTATAGTTATTCATAACCAGTGATCTTGATTACTTGGCTGATCAACTGATTGTATGACTGCAAAATATATAACATTACGTGACATTGGTTAGGAAACTATTTAATGAATGATTTGCACGAAATTGAATTAATTCTGTTGGGTGGTCAACTGTAAACAAGGAGATTATTATATTAATGTGGTATAGATTCAAAGACATGATTCAACGGTCAATTGTCTAGATCGTAAAGGTCCAACTGTAGGAGGCTACTTAACAAATAAAACTAACACATAACTACCCAGAATTTTATATATCAAAACCGAGTGCAGAGAGATGAAAAATCAATGAGATCCATAACATAGGAAAGGAGTAAGTATATAACCTCAATAGCAAACTGAACATAGGACGTCAAATAAACAATGAAGTCAGATTGAAGGATGAGAAAGGACTAACGCAAATTTTGATATAGAGGGCAAGGTCTTAAAATTGATTAAGCAATAAGAGCCGTAAAAGAAATTGAAATTTATCAATCGCCTATGGGATTCAACCACATTTATTTCCCTGTTTCTTAATTATGTATGCTACTGTGGGATCGAGACTAATCTCAGATGTTTTGGGAAAAACCAAGGATACAATTATACTAAAAATCAACCTAAATTAAACTGCATATCTAGGGTGGGTGACATATTTTTTATCATCAGGAGAAACCAACTGCAAAATGTCCACGAAATGACTACCAATATCTTCAAACACAAACCAGCAGTAAGAAGACATGACGTATTACCACTTATATCAGTGAACTCAGACAACTATGGATATGAATTCAATTAGAAAAGCGTCAAATTTATGGATCGATAAAATTCGAAGAATGCCAGAGAGCTCCTAAAAACACGTTCTTCATGTCAATCTATAATCATTAAGCCTATCAACATGGAACCAATCTATCAGTCTGTGTGAAAAAGATCAGTGAACCATATAATCAACAGAACAAAATGTTCGACATGAATACTAAGCAAAATGAGGTGGACTAGACCTATGAAAACAGCCATTCATGGGCAAGGTCATTAGAATAGTCCTATTTAAGGTTTATGGATTACTAAATAAACAGTTCACTTTTACGTGAAATAAGAGCTAATGGTATTGACAATAAAAACTTCGTAATAAAAAAATCTCCCTCAAAGAAACAATACAGTTGAAAATTTACATTCGTCTTCCTTTTATTTTCTAATTCGATATTATGGTGCAGCTGCACGATGATAGGATATTAGGCAATGACAATGAATGGTTTAATGAAGCTGTGAACCTCTATTAACTGAGGTAGTTGGAACAGTGACTTAGTGGTTAGGTCACTTAGATTCTGGTTATTAGGTCGTCTATCCTAACAGATTCTTTAATTTTGTGTTTAAATACATTTGGTTGTACCCACCTGTGTTTTCGTTCACTACAATAGCACTAATGCGACACAAAGTTTATTATTGTGAATGCATGGACATTTTAAGTAAGTTTGCTACAACCCATACTACTTCTACATTATTTGAACAATGAGGGAAAGAGAAATAGGAATAAGAACTTTATTCCAAGGTAGAAAATCAAGTGTATTCAGTTTCTTGTGGACTTAATCCCATAGAAAATTTTGAAAACACATCAAATGTAGTATCGACATTAATTACCCAATTACAACGTAATATATTATCCTTAATTTTTCCAGACGTTTACAACTGAGTAGTGATTAAATGAAACATCCCCACACGTTTTCTGAAACATTATTATTGAAACACATAAACACTGGTACAAGGAGACACCAAATATATATATGCACCGCACAAACCACTGGATCTGTGTGTTAACTGGGATACTCCCCGGGTGCCCAAACAGAAGCAGGTAGTTTTCCTAGGCGGCCAACTACCGAGTCTTTGACCTAGAGGTCTATTCCACAAGATAGTAGAGCAACGTTAGATGATGCAGTCCCATGGCAGCCGGTGATCAACAATAAATTCATACACCATTTGTCCCCTCAGGATCCTGAAGCCCATGGTTTGGAATTAGGATTTTCCGACTCCCTTAGGTGGATTCCTCTGAACCTGCTAACCCGGACATTAGCTTTTCGTCCTCTCAATTTTACAGAGGGTAGGAATTCCCTGGCAATGGCTGTATACGTATGGCCATGTAAGAGCATTTCGAGAGGGAGGGAAAAATCTCTACATCCTTGGCCGTACCAGGGGATTTTGGGACTCGAGACCCCTATAGACTTTGAAAAACGACATTTTAAAAATACCCAACACATTTCATCTTGACTAAATACCGGATCTTCAAAATGTTTAGAAATATATAATCGATATTTTATATATTTTAGCCAGCTATACTTTTAGGTTGCAATCAACCTAATTATGAATCCTATTTAGAAACTCTATACATTAAGGTCGAATCTCCCAATTTTCAATGGTTCCATTACACAGAGCAAAAATTTTAACTATAACATGTCAAGTAAATTATCAACTACTAATGAACATTTTTAGCGAACTAACTGACACTTAACAATTAATGTTATTCACAAGGCAATAAGAGATTAAATAATTAAAAATTATAGTAATTTCTCTAAATGAGTCAAATAGAATCTTTAATTAATTCATTAATATACTTCAATATTAATATAAAAAGATGATCAGAGTTAATATGAATAAAATATTCACCAATTATACTTTTTTTTCTTTAAACTATACACACTGTTAGTTAGTGTGTAACATAGAAAAGTGAAAGTTGTTTCAATGTGTACATTCACAAAGTTGTTATGTTTTAGATCACAGGAATTATTATTATCACTATTGTTGTTTGACTTTAAAACTGGAATTTTGAATTTTACATACAACATTAATAATAGAAATAAACAACAACAACAACAACACAGAACTTAATACATATTGTTATATTATTCGGTGATCTATATCAATTGTGTTGAATAACTTATAAACTACAATATGTACAATCAGTTAGTCATAATCAATATAGCGCCTGACATAAATATAGATCAGTGTAAGTCTCTGAACCACCGCACCAGCATAAGCAACATGATAATATTATCAATGATAGTTTAAATAAAAGAGATTAAATCGAGTTCGAAAAGAAAGAATAAATTGGCGGAATAAAAAGAAATATAAAACATTTACTATCATAAACTGTTGAGTCGGCTTTCGAAGAACTTCAACGGAGCCTCCAGAGGCCCAAAAGGAGCCGAAGAGTCCTAGCCAATCAGAGCACGATGGATCATTCTAGAATTCCAACGTGGCGTGCTACTATTGGTCAGTAGCATAATATGTCGTTAACGGATTGGTCGAAATATGATGTTGATTTAACAAACGCTAACATCTATAAATACCCATGTTTTCTGTACAAGAACGAACCTTGGAGTAGAGTGTTTCTTTCATACTTTGCGTCTTCTTTCTGGTGTTCAGGTCGCTGTATAGTTCTAGCGTGTGGGTTATCAGAATAGCTTAGGAACGAATATAGCGTCTAAATCAGCAAGACTTAACAAAAACCTAGAGAAGAGATTAAGTAGATGAATTTGCACTACAACCAACAATTAGCATCGAAAGTTTAACCGAACAATGGTTTATTCCTGGAAGAAAACCAGAATCCAATGTATATAGCCATTTTATAAAAATATCAATCAACAAAACTATTTCTGTACACACATCTCAGACTAACAGTCGAAGTGTCATATTCTAGTCCATAAGCACTATTAGCATTATTCTTAATTCCTCCTATTTCATTTATCATGATACTCTAACATGGACAGCTGTTGAGAGTGTATGGTGCGTGTTACAACGACCTCACTCATTAAAGCCTGATAACCTCATTATCCAGTTTAACTAACCTCATGACCAAATTACTATTTGTACGTTGTGTTGAATTTGCACAAGCAAGCAATCATTTAAGGTTGCATAATAGAAATGTACTACTGCTTCTCAGTCAATCAGTCATACGCAACGCATAACCTGACGCACCTGGGTATCAATTCGAGTTATCACTCCACATTAGCACGGTGAGATGAAATTTTTAAGAAAAGTTGCACAGTAATAGAAGCAGTAACACTACCAATAGTTGTAAAAAAAGATAAGGTGTAGAAAGGAAAAAAGTACAAAAAGATGTCGAGAGTCAGGTTCTAAGAAGAGACAAAGTGAATATTTCTGAGTCACTGGTAAGGATTTTGAGACATTGAACTTAATGTCTCTAGCCGTGAATTATAATACTCACACAGACACAAACCAGGTTGTCGCGTTCTTTGTATGGATTCTGACTTCATTCTATTCAGGGAAAATTATTTTAGGAAGTTTGCACATGCATTTACTTTTGCAAACATGAAACTAAAAAAGAATTCAGAAGCAAAGGAAAGAAATGTAGTGGTATTTATCGGAAACAGTCGGTCATAAGCAATGAAGAACCTAGTACTTGTGTGGGTCAGTCTAAGTTGCCATATTACATCATCACAGTAAGATGAATACCAAAGGAGAAGTAGTAGCATGAATGATAGGAAAGAATATCAAGCATAGGGGATATGACTTGAGAAGAACGATTTAATTCAAGGAATTGTAAGTAAAAATAACTTTTAAATCAATGATTTACTCCGTTCACTTGACCAAAATAAGTAGGGCGGGGTTCGGACCTGGGACTTATTGGTTGGAAGTTGAACACCTTAACTACTGAGCCACCGCTTCCAGTCATGTTTTAGCAGCTATATCTATCGCACTCAATGAAACAGTGACAAATCATTCAGCTTTGGGGACGTTTGTGCAAACCAACCGCATGGATAAAATACAAATATTCACTATAATTAAAAGGATTTCGATGTTTAAGGACTAACCCGAAATAGTCTAATATCTATATAATACGCTTTTAATGCATATGTTTGTAATAAAATTAGTAACCGAAATAATTCCAAAAACTTACGTTCAGGTTCCATATTCACTGAGGAGGTTAGGTTTGTATTCAGTATATTTTGATTAGAATGATTATTGGATACAACAGATGATAAAATAAATATAGGTTGATCAACTTTTAAATCTTGAGTATACGGTGTTGGTGTCAATAATGTACACTGCATTTGACCTGTATTACTAGTAGGAGAGAAATTTTCCGATGTATTTGAATTCATAACAGTTGTATGCGGGAAAGAATGATTTAAAGATGTATTCATATAAGTATTATCGTCAACTAAATGTGTATCATTCAAATTTGCACAATCTACTGGTAATGTTATTTGGTTATTAGATGAATGTTGAATAATGTAGGGCATAGAAGATTGTTTTGATACTAAAATGTTATTTACGTGATCAGGAACTGAAAGAAAAAATTGAACAACAGATACATTAGTATAGAATATTAACTGACTAATTTACATAATAAGTTTAATGAATAGAGGAAAAAGAACTTTATTTACAACTGATAGATCACTGCATAGTGACCAGAGTCACGTATATCAAGTCCTTCATAATGTTAACCAAGTTCTATCGATCGATTCGCAATGTAACCAATAGTCGTCTAAGTCTATTGATATCACATGCACTGTGTTGAGATCTAACGTGATGATTGACCGTAATCGACAGTAAACTGTGCACCGATGGTTGATCAGCACTAAGGACTTGACATGAAAGAAACCGGTCAATACTCAGTGATCAATCAATTTTGGATACATCTCACTCTAAAAAGAGGTCAGCCACGGCTCCGACTGTGAAGCTAAGTGGTACGGAATCGAGTCCGCTCGTGAGCACTAGTCTTCTTGAGATTACAGGCACACTTTACTCATCATACTCCGTTATTCATATTAATTTGACCGATTCTATGTTAGTATCTCTAGCGCTTACCTAGTAAAGTGTAAATCCAAGTGCAGTAAAAGAACCATTTTCAACTGTTTTTTGTACTAAAATCTATATCTTTAGCTGTTACCACTGGGTTTATATCCATTCACTGTCAAACAGATTTCTAATTCTTAAATCCCAGACACATCTAGCAATGACGACAAAGCAAGTTTCTTAGTTTATACGTTAACAGCCTACACTGGCATATAGATTCCCGTCGTTAATAAACCGTTAAATTGTTTTATATATAGTATAGTTTTGTACGTAGTCTCTAGATGCATTAGTACAAGTTCGAGAATAAGCCCCCAAATATTAGCAAAACTATAAGGAAATATTGTTGTATGAATTAAGGTTACCATATTTATCATTAATTCAGGATAGGTTTTCGTGACCGTAAAATTTTCATGGTTTAAATCAAGACCAATAATAAAAACCAGGAGCACTGACAGTTGCTTCGTCTTAGTATAGGACTCCTCGGAAATGCCCATCCGCGACATCATCACAAAGAAAGCATGACCGGGGGGGTATTCATATTGTGCATAAGATAGCCATCCACCACATGGAATGCAAGATGGTGTCGCAATTCCGTGAATCGACTGAAGTTAAACATGTATACAATTGGATGCCGGATCATTATTTATTTATTTATTTTAACACATAGACATTGGTACAAGGAGGCACCAAATACATATGCGCCACACAAATCACATTCGATATGTGTGTGAGGGGTGTGATACTGCCCGGGTGCCCAAACCGAACCAGGTAGTTTTCTTAGAGGGCCACTCCCCGAGCCTTCGACCTGAAGGTCTGATCCACAAGGCAGTGGAGCATCGTAAGGAGATGCAGTCCCATGGAAGCCGGTGACCAACAATTGGTTCATACGCCATTTGTTCCTTCAGGATACTGAAGCCCATGTGCACCATTGGTTTTGAATCCGGTTAAAGCGCCGGACATTCGCTTTTCGTCCTCTCGATTTCGTAAACAGCACCCCCGCCACGAGAAGTCAGTGAGTAGGACTTCCCTGGCAGAGGCTCTATACGCGTGGCCATGTGAGAGCATTTCGAGAGGGAGAGCGGACTCTCCCCACTCTCGGCCGTACCAGGGCATTTAGGGGCAAGATGTTAAGTGTCCAAGCGCAAAACCAATGGTTCTGGGTTTGATTCCCTGTTTGGCTATGGATGCGCACTTCTAAAGAGTCCCCCACTAAAACGAAGCAGATGCCCAGTGCATCCTGGTTGCCAATGTTGATCTAAGGTCAGATAGTAGTGATTTAAACTATGAAAATTATACCTAAATGTTGATTTTCAACTTAGATTATGTTGCAGAAAGGTCTCAATGTCAGGCTAAACACCAAATAAACAAAAATATTTAGGATTCCGTTAAAAAACATCCCTGTTTTATAAAAAAAGGCAAGAAATAGTCTGAACATGTCGTTTAAGTACGGAATTATATTTACTTACGATGGCTAGTTGATTTTGGTAAATTAGTAAACAATGCCTGTGAAAAAAAAAAGTAAATAGAAACATCTGTGTAAAAAATCGTTTAATGAAACCAGTTATTAAAGTTGGAAATTTATTTACAAATTACACGTAGGGTATTAATGTTTACGCGGGAAAACCAAAACTTATTCTCCGCTTTATAAAAGATTGAACTACAGCGTATGTCTTAGGAAGAATAATTTCTAGTCTAAAGAGGTGACGAATTCCAAATGTATATGATCAGGTGAAAAAGTGGCGTTCAAGGTGTATTTTACCAGGGCAACTCAGATGATCAATGAATGAATGACATTGCACACAGAAGTAGTTAACGTTTTCATGGTCCATGATATCTGATACAGTGGCCCAATATTAGAAGCCATCAAATGAAAGGCCACGTTGTGACAATCAAGAATCTCCTAAGGATAAGTAGATGTTATTGATCAAGAAATAGCTTCATTTGCTGAGGAGTAAGTGTATATATATAAGTGCTCATGCATTTCATCCGGTTTACACCGATAAGCCTCCTTCTTCACTTCCAGTTATCTCACTAAGTAGCCGATCGGGGGACTCGCGCATAAGAATTTTGTATATCAGAATCGGTCTCGGCCATAATAGTACCCTCGGATATTGTCATCTGTAGGATACTGATGTGTCAGTAAATGACTTCCCAGAAATTTAGTCAAAGCTTTCAGTAAGTAGAATTTTCTCGAATGACATGAAAAAATTTCGATCTATACACAAACATTCAACTTGGGTCCATTAAAATAGCGTTTCTAGAAACTTATCTTTGGAATCAAGACAAACAGTAATATAAATACATGCAAAATTCCCACCATAATCATAACTATTCAGCGACAACTTAAGAAAACTCCTTCCAGTATTCGTCCATTTTTATCTAGATGGCAGGGAATATATTATCTAAGTTAAGATTTATTATATTTTTGGTTAACTTTAATTGTTATACAGACTGAAGTGCCACTATATTCCAGAGTAAGCATCTTGCTCACCTTCAAGGATGTAACCACGATATCACTTAGGCTAGATAAAGCATTTAACATGGGATAAAAACGTTATATGCATTCTAGTATCTCAAGGAATTTAATGGTTAATCAACGTAAGGAATGTCATTGCATATAATGATTCTTTAATATACACAATTTCATTACCGGTAGCCTCTTATTAATAATAACCATTAATTCCATGAAAGTTGAACAAACTATGGAGACTAATCACAAACTTTCATCAAACTTCAGTAAGAAAACTTATGTGGAACTATTTGAATGTACGAGTTGATAATTAACCTAGAATTTATCAATTGACTTTCAGTGTTTTAATGACAACAATCGGTTACATTTACCGTTTTAGTTTAAACTAATCAATTAAATGAGTCACAATTAAATTTTGTCGATACATAAAATGGAAGTATGTATCTTGAAATAATTCAACATTGAATTATGTTTACACATGAATGATTCAGTATGAAAATTAGTTGAAACATTGATAGTTGGAGTTAGTCAACGAAAATGATCAATGAATTTACCCTAGTGATAATGCAATAGGGAAAATCCCGTTGATGTTGATTGAGCAGGTTTGTCGATATTTTATAGCTCATTTAAGTGGCAATTAGTTCAGAAAGGAAATCCTACAAATTATGATGCCAAATGTTTCGGTTAAGGACAAACTCTTTCCGTAATAATTATAAAATTACTATCCTGAACTGATTATGTCGAGTTTGACAAAATCATATCAAGGCTGAATTATCACTTAACACTAATTAGGGTGTAGAATTGAGATATTAGAGAAGGAAATGGATAATTCAATACGTGATATGTCTATATGAACACTTAAAGTGTTTAAATAGTATTTTACACCTGCCTATCCTCATAGACAAATTAGGTTGCAAATACAACCTTACAGTTAACTGTTTTCGCACTCATACTCCATTTGTTCCCTCAGGATCCTGGAGCCCAAGTGGATCCTCCAAACCTACCAACCCGGTTTGATCGCCGGACATTCGGTTTTCGTCCTCTCGGTTTCGCAAACAACAACCCCGGCACGAGAAGGCAGTGAGTAGGAATCCCCTGGCGGTGGCTGTATACGCACCACCGTGTACGGCCATCTCGAAAGGGAGAGCTGACTCGCCCCACCCTCGGTCGTACCAGGGCATTTGGGGGACAGCTTAAGAATACTATTCTTTGGTCTGGTCTAAAGTAGGTAGGGTTAATTTGCACCCATAACTCTAGTAGTACAATGAAGTCGAATGATCTGCAAAACTGAACAAAAGTTCCAGATAAAATTTAACATATAAAAAGTGACCTACTTTTTATCAATATAAAAATATATAATAAAAATTGTCAAAGTTAAGATAAGGAAAAGGAGGTACAAATAGTATTTTAAACTCGTAAGCACTCAATAAAAGATAAGGAAATGATGTTGATATAATATTAGATAGTTATGCTTTTTATTCCTTAATAAGATTCAGGGAAGAAGAGTAAGTTCTACAGATACAAAATGTTCCTTATATTGATTTTCAGAAGTGTTAGTAATGTGTTGAATAGTAAGCTTATGAAAACATTTTTCAGGAAATGGTTTTTCGTAAGCAGTAAGATCAGATAAGATAAAAGTCAGACCACCTACCTTTGAGTTTATAACACTATTATTACAGGTGAATGGAGACACTGAGGAGGAGTTCAGACTTGGTTGATGTGATGATCTGGGATAATGAATTAGTTGGGAATTAGAGGGGGAATCAGGTTTTGTAGTTGATGATATGTGAGAAACAAGAACAGGTTGGATATGAGGCAAATATTCATTTTCCACTGTGTTTAATGATGAAATTAGTGAATTAGGCGGTAAACTCATTGAGCTTACCGGTCTCATATGAGTTTCTGTTACAGTATTTATTGAATTTCGAGGATGAATACCAAATGTAGACTGTGGTTCAACAACAAATCTCACATTTGATTGAATGTCAATTTGATCGAACTTCTGTTTATCATCGTCACTTGGCTGACAAATTTGATCACAACCATTGTTATTGTTCATCTTTTCTATATCTGCAATGGAAGGTTGCTCCACATCATTATCATCTTCATCATCTTCGTCAACGCAGCCATCGTCCTCGTTGTCTTCGCTTTTCATATTTGAATAAGGCTGTGACGGGATAACACCGGATCCGCCGTTACAATTCGATCTCATGCGGCGATTTGTTAACTGAAATAAAAATTGCCAAAACACATGAAAAAGAGGTATGAAGATCATTAATTATTAATCAGAAAGACAAATATATTCAATTAAATTTCAATTAAGACATTATTCCATGTCAGTGAAAATACGCACATAGTTTTTAATAGTATTTCAGTGTTTATACAAACTAAGTTGGTATTAAAATATTTATATTTATGTATACAAGGCATCTTGTATAAAACTAATGTGAATAGACTAAGAAGGGACTCATAATATTTCCAATATTCAGTAGATAAATACAAGCTTTGGTAAAAGAATTCAAACTTACCCTAAATACCCAAATATGTAGCACACACCACAACACTAGTTAGAGACTAAAATACCCAGTAGGATACATTGTATAGATTGAATTATTTTTTGAAACACACTTCAAACGATTCGTTTTTTAAAATTGCACACCAAAAATCACTTCTTCTGAACCAGAAAAACAAAATACTTTTAAAGCCTATGGTCACTCCTTCTACCTAGTGGTACGGCCGAGAGTGGGGAGAGTTCGCTCTCCTTCTCGAAATGCTCTCACATGACCACGCGTATATAGCCTCTGCCAGGAAAGTCCTACTCACTGACTTCTCGTGGTGGGGGTGTTGTTTACGAAATTGAGAGGACGAAAAGCGAATGTCCCGGTTGATGGACATGGAGAGTCCACCTAGAGGAGTTGGAAAATCCTGATTCCAAACCAATGGTGCACATGGGCCTCAGTATCCTGAAGGAACAAATGGTGTATGAAACAATCGTTGGTCAGCGGCTACCATGGGACTGCATCTCCTCACGATGCTCCACTACCTTGTGGACCAGACCTTTCGGTCAAAGGCTCTGGGTGTGGCTCCCTAAGAAAACTACCTGCTTCAGTTTGGGCGCCCGGGCAGTATCACAGCCCTCACACAAATCAAATGAGATTTGTGTGGCGCATATGTATTTGGTGCCTCCTTGTACCAATATCTATGTGTTCAAATAAATGAATAATGTATAGATAAACCATATTATTAGCAATTTGATGGTCATATTCAATTGATAGAAACGTTTGCACTTGCCTGAACCTGGATAACATGTATGTTAACTTAAAAGAAGTAAACAATACAACTAGAGTCTACTGTACTTGATCAGAATAAGACAATCAAGTATTCATTCATGAAGGGATTTACTAAACAGGTAGCGGTGTAAGACAATAAGATACTGACAAGATATATTTTTCCCCATATATTGAAGGGAAATCTGGAAATGCTTAAGAATCATACTAAATCTATTAAATCTGAAGCTTCTAAAAGTGATCAGCACTGGAAAGTGACAGAGTACGTTGACCACTTAATCAAAATCTAGACATACAATCTGCAATCCGAATAGCTCACTGGCAATGAAACTGCTTGTTACACACTATGACGAGGGCTTAAATTAAACGGAAAGTAATAACCGAATCAATGCTGTGGAAACGATTCGTTTACGAGTAGAGAGGTGATTTAGTGGTTGAGGCACTCAGCTTCTAATCGGTACGTCATATTTCTAAATCTTATTCCACATGTTTCAGTTTAGGTAGCTGAGAAGCACTACTAACCTTTGAGCAAACAGAGGCTCAAGTTCGAGTACATTAACATGTACACACTACATGAACTACACTAATTAGCATGAGTGATATATATATATATATATATATATATATATATATATATATAGCGATGATCAATATGAGCGTAAAATGTTAAATATCAGTCAGTCAGCTACAACGTAGGACCAGGCACATATGTGCATCGGTCCAGGTTGCCATACCTCATTAGCACAGCAAGATGAACACTGGATTCATAGGAGTGGTTAGGTCAAAGGTTGCAATAAGGATATAGTATAGGAAGAAAGAATTAGTTCGTAGAAAGAAAGATATGAAGTGATTTTAATCTCTTAGTTTAAGGGAAGACAGGGAGTGTATACACCGACGCCATTGTGATCGATTCTGAGCCATGTCACCAAGAGTCTCCAACCATTGGTTACGAAAGTCACGCGGACCCCAACCAAGTAGTCTGCATCTACCAACATGGCTCAGACTAGAAGTTAGTGACTTCAGGCACTGATGCCACGTTTTGGTTTGGCCGCCCCTAACTTTCTTCCAACCATCCCCTACACCGGTTAGCATTGCACGTCGTGGTAATCGGTGTTCAGGCATACGTAATACGTGGCCCAACCATCTCAGTCGATGAAGATTCATAACCTCATCAACTGATTTACCATCATTCCCTAATACCCTGCGTCTAACCTCGCTATTACTTACCCGGTGATCCCAGCAGATGCCAGCAATATTTCTAAGGCATCTGTGGTCAAATACTAGTAGCTTACGGGTGTCTTCCACTCTTAAAGGCCATGTTTCGCTGCCGTAAAGTAAGACAGAACGGACTGCCGCGCAGTATACTCGTCCTTTTATTGATAGACGGATATCTCGCCTCCGCCAAAGGTGACGTAAGTTGGCAAAAGCCAAACGAGCTTTTCGAATCCGTGCTGAGATTTCGTCAGACACCAACCCATTAAGGCTGATCAGACTTCCAAGATAAGTGAAGTTGTCAACGCGTTCGACTACTTCACTCCCTATCCTTAGTTCAGGTGTTGACGCAGACCAGTCCTGAAGCAACAACTTGCATTTAGAGGGAGAGAAGCGCATCCCAAACATTCTGGCATTGTTGCTTAGTGCTGCCAGAAGACTCTGCATTTTGTCAGCGTCTTCACCAAACAGGACTATGTCATCTGCGTATTCTAAGTCGATAAGTGGACCTCCTGGAAGGAGATCAATACCCGAGAATTCAGTCGACGAGAGTGTTATTTCCATCAATAGGTCTATGATGAAGTTAAACAAAAATGGAGAAAGCGGACAGCCTTGACGGACACCACTTGAAGTTGCAAAAGTAGATGACAGTTCGCCATAAGCTCTGACTCGACTAGTAGTGTTCGAGTAAAGAGCCTTCACAAGGTTTATGTACTTCTGAGGTACGCCTTTCAATGACAGACACTGCCACAGAGTCTCGCGGTCTACAGAATCAAATGCTGCTTTTAAGTCAAGAAAGACCACCATCGTCGGACGCCGATAGGTATGCCTGTGTTCTAGAACCTGACGAATGGTGAATATGTGGTCGATGCAGCCACGACCAGGTCTAAAGCCAGCTTGGTTCTCTCGAGTTTGTAGTTCACGAGTCTTAGTTAAGCGTCTGATAATTATCGAGGCCAGTATTTTAGATACTATGTTTGTTAAAGTAATCCCTCTGTGGTTGTCACAGGATGATTTTGACCCTTTCTTATATATTGGGACGATAAGTGATTGCGACCAGTCAGATGGGATAAAGTCTAATTCCCAGATCTTAGCTAAAATATTAGTCAACCTAATCGCTAAAATTGGGCCACCATCCTTAAAGACCTCTGGAGCCAATCCATCTGGACCAGCTGCCCTTCCTCGTTTCAGATTAACTATAGCCTTTTGAACTTCAGCAAGAGTTGGGGGACCTACTTCAATGTTCCATTCACACTGTCTGGGAATAGAGGGTAGTTGTACAGTAGCTGAAGGCCAGCTGAACTGTTCTCTAAAATGTTCCGCCCATCGTTCTAAACGCCTGGACTGGGAGCAGATGAGAGTATAATCTTTTTCCGAAATAATCTCACTTACACTTGACTTATTAATTCCAGTTTCTTTTATTAGTCTGTAAAGCTGTCTTGTGTTCCCTATAGTCGCCGCCTTTTCCATCTCTTTTGCTTTCGTTGCCCACCACTGCTCACGGTCGTTCCTTAGACTTTTTCTTAACCTAGATCTGATTTGTTTTCGCTCTTCATCATGTTCAGAACCTGATGGGACGAGTTTACGAGAATCCATCAGTGTGACAGACCTTGAAGAAATCCACTGGTTCCTTGCAACTCTGTGGTTTAAGTCACTAATAGATGTCACTGCTGTTTCCACAGCTGATTGTATGCCCTTCCAAGCAACATCTGGGTCAGCCTCGTCTTCACAACTACCTAAGTGTGACCTCAGTTGTTCCTGGAACCTACTTTTGATTTTCTCGTTACTCAACTCAGTTCTGACGGGTCTTTTTAATGTGGCTTTTTTGCGTCCAGTGAGGCGCAAGCAGATGCGTGCCCGTATTAGGGCATGGTCGGAGTCCAAGCAGGTACTTCAGAATGAGCGACAATCTTCTACCGACCCTCTCCAACGATGACTGATGGCAATATGGTCTATTTGAGTCCATCGTTGGTTTGGTGTAGGGGGTCGCCATGTTAGACGATGTCTCTCCTTATGCTTAAAATTTGTGTTTGCTAAAAATAAACGATTGTCTGAGCATAGCTGCAGCAGACGATCACCATTATCTGTTCGCTGTGTCGGAACACTGAAATATCCACCTAAATGCCTTTCTGTTTGGTTTAAGCTACCTATCTGAGCATTAAAGTCACCTGCTACGAGTACTATGTCTGAGCGTTTAGCTTTCTGAAGAAGTTCGGACAGCTTTCTGTAAAATTCATCTTTCACTTCATCTGAGCTGCAGTCAGTGGGAGCGTAGGCAGAAACGACAAAAAGGCAACGACGTGTGTCCCTATCCTTCCGAGTTCTTACGTAGCCGTTCAGCCGAACGGCACATAAACGACTGTTGACGGGGATCCACTCTAGCAGTGTTTGTTCCGCCCTCATGCTTAGTGCTATGCCTACACCTGCCAGTCCACGAGAACTTGCCATCGGGTCACCAGATACACGAAGGGTGTATCTTGTTGGCTCTCCGTTTTGCCGAGGTGAGGTCAAGTGAATAACCACACTGGAATCCTGTATGCGTGTTTCGGAGACACAGCATACATCAATGGAAAGAGACTCTAGGGTTTTAGCCAAGGAAGCCTGCTGACCGATTTGACATAGGGTGCGTACGTTGAAGGCTCCAATGTGTAGTTTGGAGCGAGGTTTCAGTAGACCTGGGACAGTGTTTTGCGCACTAGAATCGTTGGCTATGGTGACACTTGAGGTGGAAGCCGAGAGAGGAAATTTAAAGTTGAAAGTCGATGTAGGAGGAATAATAGGAATTGAAGAGGGAGGTTGATTATGAATACAGTGGTCTTGGGTGCTGTTAGAGGTATGAGGGCGGTTATCACTTCCCGGTTGCCCACACCGTGGAAGGGTTGTTCTGGAGGTACCTGAAAAGGAAATTGGATTAAAGGTGGTCTTAGTGACCTGAGAGCGTGACCGCAGTGCCCAAGGGACAACTGCTTGAGGCCGGTCGCGCACGGCCTTTTCGTAGGAGGTTTTTGACGTGTTAGCTCCGTTCTTCAAAGGGCCTTACCGCCGGAGACGGAAATCCGTGAGGTAAGGTGAGGTGTGCATTTTTAGGGTCGACCTTTTCTAACCCCACCCCTCCTTGTGGGAAGGCAGCATCGCTGTCATGCTGGTTGTCTGAAGGAAACACCTTACTGCTGTCACACCTCTGTACAGTCAGCAGTACGACTTCGCCTTCGGACCTTGGGTTTGTTGCTTTTAGTCTTACCGCTCTTCAACCGACCTGTCTGACATGGTAGGACCTTGAGGAACGGTTGTTCCAGCCAGTATAGCTCGGTTGCTTCATCACGATAGGCAAGCCCGACCACCACGTCAAGGTAGCAACAACGGTCGGGATGTTAAATATAGTTTCTAAAGATATTTGAGTATGAGTTTAGGAACATAGGGTGACAACTTTAAATAAGCAATCATGAAGTCTAATTACGAAAGTAAATCACTCCGTGAGGATATGAACATAAACGGACTGAGGTGGTTAGTAATGTGCATTTTTATAACTCGCATTTGTGAATATGGGTAAGATGGATTAATAGAAACCTTATAGTGGTTTGTAGAAGTGGATTGATTCATGACATAACAGACTATTAATCTGATCCGTGTTAGGAGAGAAATCCTGATCACTGTCTGTTAAATACTGAATTAAAGTAACAAACCATAAGTTATTAAAATTACAGATATCTACATAACTGTTTTTCAGGTATTCAAAGCCAAACCACTCTCCAGATATCTGTTTTCATCCATTCATCTTTTCCTTCCAGACATTTCAATAAATAGTTTTTTTGTGAATGTACGTACCGATAGGAAATTGAGCAAAAGAAATATTATACGAGGTTTTGTATGGGTGAAAACGGCCTATTCCTTAATTTTGTTCGATGTTAAGTATATCCATAAAAAAATTCACTAAGAACTATGAAACATGTGTTCAACATCTGCTGGAACTTAGTATAAATAGTTTTCGGTAATTACCAACATTCAGGTTGAAAACTACACTGATTGTTACATCTCTTTCTATATGTATTCGATCTAAGAGATAAGTTAGATACTGTAGACAAATATGTGGTCGAAGAGATATAAGGTGCAAAATATACAGCTGATAGTAACAATAAAGTCTAATCACTTACCCTTTCCATATCAGAATTACTAAGGAATTCATTTGCACGATGGTGTTTCTTTAATCTTTGTAAAGCATGCTCCACCGTAACACTAGCATACTGATAAAGGCGATTGCTGCGTGTGAATACTAGTAAAGCAATTTCGCATTCACACAATACGCTTAACTCGTACGCCTTTTTAAATAGACCACTTTTACGCTTTGCAAATGTGACCTATCATATAAGAAATAATAGGTTTAGTTATGTAAATTAATTTACCAGTCGATTCTTTTCATCGTTGATAAATTTTATCTCGATTTTTTTACGTCCCATTTTCTAAAAGGAAAAAAGTTGAAATCAGTTAGTGTCCAATGCATTGAGAATTTTCCAAATCCTCCAAACTTATAAGAAAATCAGGATGACGACTGCAGCTATGAACTTTCCACAATTCAATAGTGTATTACAAAAAGACCTAGATTTGGAGAGTTTACATGAGCGTGAACTTTCATCTGTGTTACCAGCCAGGAACTATTTAGCAATATTTTTCAAGTGCGCCAACTGAAACTGCTCTGTAGTTTAAAAGTATGTATTAAGACGTATATACAATCTCTAAAATTAAGTTCTCTTGGGAACTCAAAGCCATATCATTAAGGACTTACTATCGAATTAAGCTGCATTAAAATATACAGATTGCTAAAATTCAGCAACTATGAGTCAAAAATAAGCTTTATTCTCAAACGGTACCGTTGCATTGGATGTATCTGAGTTATATAATTTCACTGTTCATAGCTATTTCATAGTGTCTTAAAGGTGGTAGGTTGATCCGGATGGTCGGTGGATTCAATTATTCCCTAACTCATGTTAAAGTCAGGTTAGCTATGTTTCTACCTGAACAAAATCAAACTCAGCAGATTCGAAACCGTCTTACTTATATTAAAGATACAGTGAACCCCTGAGTAAGGAAGGACAGTAAATTGTCAGATGTTCAGGCGTTCATAGAACCGCATATAAATCTATTCATGAAATTTCAAAGCTGAAATATGACAGATTACCAAACTAAAAATATTCCTCTTACCATACATAAGAGCCAGAGGTAACTTAATGAGTATTTAAACTACTTACTGGTGATTTTCCACCGAACATGCCCTCAATTTTTTTTCAAATTTCAAGACGTTGAATTAGTCAGGAGAATAAAAACACTCAGTTCCAAAACCAGTTATTTTTCACGTAACTACCGACTCTCCCATAAAATCACCAATATGTGGGACTGCTTATCTCATGTGGTCGGAGCTCGACACGATGCCCAAAGATTAGGCTTAACAATCACGTCTTAATTGACTGGAGAACGAGTAACCTATAAGTGAATTTCCTTTGGTCGCCTATGACATTCTATCACGTTCATCGTGTGTTTATATTCCGTATATAAATAACCATGTTATTTTGCTACATGAGGAGCTCCTCATATGGCTAGTAATCTTTCCATTAATTTCTAATCATTCAGGGGCCCAGGTCGATCATACAGTTTCGTGAAAAGCCATCACTCGGTCAAATTATATCACTGCAGTTCATTTATTGGCTAGTATTCTATTCCTCAATTTTAACAATAGAAATTCCGCCTCATGCAGAAAAACACTTGATAACAGCTCCTGTCGATACACATGAAAAGAAAGAACAGCTGAAACCTCCATCGCCAGGACTAACACAGGCCTTCCAGCTTTCTGTCTACCCTCCCTTTTCTAGACTATCTGAAATATCTTTAAATGTTTGGGTTTTAGTGTGAGTATCAACACTGGGGTGCGGGCACATCCAGATAACAAGTTCAAAGTGACATGAAGCACGCCCCATGAAATTAAATGCTAACTACTATTCGACTTTATTAATATGGGTGAGTGTTACTGATCCTATTGTATATACTGAATGAAAGTAGCATATAATTAATGGACACGACCAGTTATTTGAAATAGCATACATCTATGCTAACCGAAATATTATGATATGAGTAAAAAAATTATTCCTCTTATTAGCGGCCATAGCCGCACAGATAACCACGTCTACAAGTCAGACGTATATACTAGGGAACAAACAGATTGACATTTCTCCCCAACCAAGTTCGAGTTCGTCCCTCAAGACAACTAAAACCCGGTATATACACGTCAAACCAGAGTTTGTTAGTGGTCCAATCTAATACGTTCGCATATGTGAGGCTAATAAGGTTTTAAGAACGTTGAAAATTCGATAGCAGAAGCTATGCGGCGGGTTTGATGGCACGAGCACGGAGTCGGTTCTCGTCATTTTTTTTCGGTGAATCCGACAGCCAGAAAATGCGCAACACAGTCTTTTTAAGAGAGAGATGTTAATTGAGGACTGGAATGCTAAATGTCCTATCCTAGTATTTCAATTTGAATCACTTATTTATTTCACCGACGAACGAATGAGTCGTGATAATAGAGCCGGGTGACTTAAATCTTTCTACTAACAAGTGCAGGACGTAAGATTGATCCTCAGTGGTAGCAAACAGTACACCAACTCACCCAGGCAAAGATCCCTAAGGTCACACACACCCGCTTCGAACAGAGCACAGAAACTCAGTCACCTTGAAAACTGATTCGAATAAAGCAATGAGTTATAATTTCCCGCTTCTTCTCCAAAAGAGTGGTGGTATTAGCAAGTACGGTTTCTGTTTTAGCGTAACTGGCAAATTATCTGTATTTTCGCCGCTCTAAAAATTTTCTGCAATTATTTTGAGTTTCTCTAAATATAAAACGGTTGACGATCATGATAGATTTTTGTTAATCGAGAAACAATCATTTCTAAAGTTATGCAAGAAGAAGTTTTTATCTTGCAGCCGACCGATAAATATAACTGCGATAAGCCCTATAACATCCAGTTACAAATTATTTGATTTGTTTGGGCTGCCATCTCCATGTTGTTTAATGAGCCTGAAGATGGCACAGGTATTCAGTGTTTGACAAAGCTTTTACCAGCAACACGTTCTAATATAACCCGTACCCACCAAGAGAAATCAAAAGACAGAATCGAGGAGATCAAAACTAATCTGGTCAGCATGCAATGTCGAAAACTTACAGAGCTATTTGTTTTGGGGATTTATTTACCACTACAAGCCCTTACGTAATCTAAGTGTTGGGTGGTTTACGGGCATTAAACTTTACTGGAACGGCATTGACTATAAAGTAAATCATAAGCTATCATGTGGCAGTCTCGTCCTCTTTCATAATGTACAGCCAGTGAAATGTCTCTGAGCCCCAGCTAAATCATCTGGCAGTCGGGTCATTGAATGTCGAGGACGACCAACGAGCATAAGTTAACTCTACGCCACAAGCTGGCCCGTGCAGCAGTAGTCGCACTCTGTTACTTGTATCTACTCCGTAATAACGTTGTTTGTGTTGTACGGTCATCAGTGTGGTTACGTTATGTGAAGACGTTGAACGAGTAATCCGCTTAAGTTACTGACCGCGGGCCGTTACTTCGACCTTAGATGGTTGATATCTGACTCCAGTATGCCCTCATCCATCTAAGTTGGTGATCTACGATAGCCTAGAGAGACCATTACCATTTGTCGAAACTGATCTTTATATGTTTTCGATAGGACAGAACTATGAGAAAAAGCGTGGAAGATTCGGTGACGATCATACGAATTCTTGGTCCGTTCTTCCCATAAAGTAACGTACCGGTTATGAATGGTTCATAGTGCAGGGATTAGGATTCAGGATTTGTAGTCAGGTTTTCATGGGAATTCCATCAAGGACTAACATCAACGACGATAATTATGGCTACGAATTCCTTCTGGATTGTATTTGATTTCTTTTAAAGAGCAAAAGCTACAAATGTTACTTCTAACCGTGTTTGTGCATAAAAATTAATGAAGAATTTTGAACATCACCTACACTACATATGCCAAGTTGGGCTTTTAACAGGCAAGTCTCTCTTAGAAACAGTAGAAGCCGTTAGCATTCATGGGCTTTATGAAATACGACAAAAAGTAGATTCCGGAAGTAAAAAAGTAAGGCGCCTCTTAAAAGTTAATTTACTTTTGTTTATGAAAGGAAGATGATGTTGGGAAATTCACACACGCTGACTGCACGGGGATACGTTCGGATCACAGACTAGTTGACCGTATGAACAGGCGATAGGTACAGGTAGATGTAAGTAAACGTCGTCAGACTAGTATATGAACCTTATGCCTCAGGGTTTTCACGTTGTAAACGTTTGGAGCTGAACTTTTCCCAAACCACTCTAAGTGGTACGGGAAAGTTCTGCACAATTAAAGCCTAGTGAACAAAATGGCGAGGCTTAAAACCGTGGTGAATAAAGAGGACCGTGATGTCGTTCCCATTTCAAGAACCATAGTTCGCGTCAGACGCTCATGATAGTGAAATTCGGTTGCTTAGTTTCTTAGTTGCAGGGCTGATTGACCAAACTGTAGAGGTGGTTGGGTTGTCCCGTACATTAAAGGCACACTTAACATACTAGCTACCGAGACAGTGACACTCGACTAGAAGACATGTGATCTGGAGCGCTGTCGGCTGGAGTACGAACTCAAAACCTTGGGTCAATACTATACCGAGGTCCTGAATGTGTAGATCATGATGTCCTCATAAATAAACCGAAATCCTGGTCAAACAGGCTAAAGGCCTCATAGTCGGTAACGTTAATGCACTTCTATAAATTGGCGAAACCTAAAAATAAGGTCATCAGGAAGGTCATTTGATTGCAAATCATTGGAAACCACAATCACACTAGCTTCATTTCAACATATAAGGGCTTCCATCAAATATCACCTACAAACTACTCATATGCGATGATGCTTTCAGCAGACCAAGTCCCTTACGCTTATAGGAGGAAGTGATCATGTTTTCATCATATTCAAGTTCATGGCTGAGATGGTCTGTTAAGTAGTTACCCTGGCCAATCCTAATATATAGAACGGAAACATGAAGAAGATCAGCTCTGCAGCCTCGACTGAAAACTGGCTCCAGTGCACCAGTATATGGTGCAATAGAGCAATAGACAAAGGCTCTTGATAGTGGAAATTAGTAGATGTTATCTACGTAGATTTCAGCAATGTATTTGATGAGGTGTCGGTAAAAGTCTACTTTTGAAGATGAGGAATTTAGGAATTGCCTGACCTCTTGAAAAATGGATTAAGGATTTCTTGGTAGGTCGTGAACAGAAAATAAGTTTAAATTTTACATGTTGCTCTGGGATATCAGTAATTAGTGTGGTACTGCAAAGCTTCGTCCTAGGTCCTTTACTTTTTATGCTGTATGCAAATGAACTCTCATGTACGGTTGCGTCCTCGGTGCTACTATAAGCTCATAGGCTATAGATCTGGAGAGAAATAACGGGAGACGGAGGGGAACGTGCACTTCAGGCGGACTTAAATGTTCTAACTACGTGGTCTGAAAAATGGTCGTTGCCTATAAACTCGTCCAAGTGTGTCTACATGCACATTGGGGATACAAAGGCAAATAGGTACAGTGTTAGGAAAGAATCTTTTTCCGTAATCTGGTTTCACAATAATCTTGGAGTGACAGTGAGTCATGATCTTAGTACCACGGTCCACTTTCGTGAGGTCTCAGCTTTGAGGTTCAGAATCCTATCGGCTTTAAGACGTTCATTTACCAAGTTAGATCCTACAGTATGCACAACCATGATGAAATCCAAACTTCCGACCTAGTCCAGCCCGCAAGTCTCTGTTTAAATAGTAACTCTGACAATTAGTAAAACGTATAGAGGGCAGCTAACCATGCAATTCGGGAACTCCTGGGTTCGCCATACAAAGGGCGGCTTGGAAAGCTAGAGCTCTATACACTGTCCTACCGCAGATAAAGAGGCGATCTGGTTTTGATGTATAGAATAATTAGGAATGGTTTTGAACGAGATATATCGTCTTTTTCTTCCCACTAGGTCGGGACAAATCGGAGGTCATGGCAAGCAAGTATGGAAGCCAAGAACGAACAAAATACCGGTAGCGTACAGGTGTTCACACCGAGTCACTAATTCTTGGATCCTGTTATCTGGAAAAGTGGTGTTTGTCTCTCTAATCGATTCATTCAAGAGAAGACTAGATGCTCTCAGAAGCTTGCTAGAAAAGGACTAACATGGTAGTAGGTCTTCTGTTCTCAACACACAAATCGGAATCTAAAATTCTGTTTGACTGAACTCATTCAGGTAATAGTGTCAGTTGAAACAAATAAAGTCAGGATTAACGTTGGAGGACTACTAAACTGTTGGTTTTTGGGCATCATCACTACATCGAATTCTTCGAAACTCAGTTGTTTTTTACCAAGGTGCAGAGTTATACTGAATTACATCCCTATATTTATCGAAAAAATGAATTCATCTAAATTGAGACTGATTAGATAGCTAAGCCCAACATGCTTGGTGAGGTGTTGAATGTTTGAGTGCCTGATCATATGTTTACTAGATCAGTCTATCAAAACCAACTAGCTGTGCACTAAGTGTTGAGCATCTGCCAATTTATTTGTCTTATGGTACTCGTCTATAGTAAAACCGTAAGCGCGACCTAAACATTTCTTAACTAATATGTAGTTAAAACGAACGTCTCGAAAGAAAGTCATCATTCTTTATTTGTGCATGAGTTTGACGGTCGAAATTCTACTACATGGTGAATATATGCTTATAATTAAAAATCAATTTTGCCTAGGTGATGTAATCAAAACGTAACATCTGTCTATTAACTTTTCGACATTCAAAGGCCTCTAGTTTTATGTTAGCCACACACAACTTATAAGTATGATATTCATCAAATTATTAGTGTTCGAATATAAAACAGAAAGTTGCTGTGGACAAACGACATTTAGTTTTGATTTATAATAACTGTCTGAAACGGTATGCTACACCTGTCGTAAAGTTTAAAAGTTTGTTGAAATAGTTTACGTTCTTCAATGAAGACAGTTTAATAAATATCTTTATATATGTTTTGATCAATATACAGTTTGATGATGCCACAGGTATTTAGTGTTTGACAACGCTTCTACCAGTAACACCTTCTAATATATTTCGTTCCCACCCAGAGAAATCAAAAGACAGAGTCAAGGAGATCAGAAGAGTGTATTTGGCGATTACCAATATATCGGAATTCTCTGATCTAATCTGGTTAGCGATTGCGGTTGATGTTGAGTACGGCGTTACCACACGTGATCTGGTGCGGATGCATGACCGAGCGCTTTCAGCTAGATGAGTCCACTAAGACATATGGTCAGCATCCAATGTCGAAAACTTACAGGGCTATTTATTTTAGGGATTTATTTACCGCTAGAAGTTAGTCATTTCGTCCCAGTTTAAAACAACAAAATTTACGTTCAAGGGATAAATTCAGAATTCGTTAGATACAGGAACTCTTCTATGAGTCACTTGCAGGAAGCATAATTAAGGTAATAATATGTAAAATATTTGAATATTCTTTCGTCATGTCAACATTACTAATCGGTACAGAATGATGGTTTTAATACCTATGAAAACAAAACTTTCAGGTTTGTAAACTTTACTACTGATAGTGGCATGAGTCCTTGAAGTCACTAACTTCTGGTATGAGCCATGTTGGTAGATGCAGATTACTTAGTCGGGTTCCGCGTGACCATCGTAACCAACGGTTGGAGACTCTTGGTGACATGGCTCAAAATCGATCACAATGGCGTAGGTGTATACACTCTTTGTCTTCCCTTAAATCATGAGATTAAATTTGCTTTATATCTTTCTTTCTACCATCTAATTCTTTCTTCCTGTATTATATCCTTATACACAATATTTCTTTTATATATTACCACCGTTGAGTAAACTTCTTCTATGAAGTCGGTGTTCATCATGTTGGGTTAATAAGGTATGGCAACTTGAACTAACGCATATATATGCCTAGTCCTACGTTGCAGTTAACTGACTGATTGAGTTTACTACTGACAACCTGGAACCTATGTTATTCATTCAATTTACATGACAAGTAGATTTCAATGCTATTGAGAATGTAGTTGTACAACATTTATCTAACAATTTCTTAATTATGTTTAAAACAAATATTTTTACTTATTTTATCTTAACATAATCCGAAAAAATGAAGAATAATTACATATATACATTTATTTATAAGTCAAAACTAATAATATGTAATTAGTTAAAATCTACACTATTTTACATATTTCCTACAAGAAAGGGAAATATAAAGTGAATAGGCAAATCAATACACGAAAGAAAGTCAGAACCCTTAGGCGTTTATATATATATATATATACATATAGCTTTTATATGTACACATATTTTTGGAAAAAAACCCTGATTATTCACTCTCTTACGAATTATTATTCTCTCATGAGATTCAATACATATTCATATATACTCAAGGGATAATCAAAACTGAAAAGCTTTTATTTAATTTACATTTTGTTCATAGAGTAGAACTCCATTTATTAACACATGCATATGTTTATTCGTATAGTTACAGAATAAAAATGTATATTACTAATTATTTAACCATCATTTTTCACTTTCTTTATGGAAGAAAGTTCATATATATATATACGTTAAAAAAGATTTTAC